GTTAATTTATTAGTATCTCTACCACACCCTATAGTGCTCTCTGGCTTACCTGCTAGCTACAAACATTTTTTTTTCCTTGGGCTAATGAAAAGTATGTAGCCTTCTTTTTTTTTTTAAATCATGTATTCCTCTTTTGGTTCATAATTTAGCAACCCCAAAATCATCTAATCTCTCCCTGGTCAAATCCTGGAGTATCATATTACCATTATTCTGAGAACAAAAGTGAATACCCCACACTTAGGGAACACATTGTTGACACCCCATACTAAAAGCAGAGCAAAGGTAGGGGTTATTTTTCCCCCTTGAGGAAAGTGAGCACTCACTTTGGCATGGACTGGTTTTAATTTTTAATTACAGAAGGTACATATTTTCCCCCTCTAATTTTCTCAGTGCGAGATGGATCAAGAAGCTGCTCAGTAGCTGTCTTGGCAAGAAATCAGTCAGCATGTTGTAGCAATTTTTTTCAAATTTGTTTCTGGATTTGGAATGCTTGCGTGAGGACCCATTCTTTTTAAATTTGTACAAAGGAAGACAAAACATGTTGAAACAGGTCTGAATTAGGCACCAGCATGTGCTGGCCTTTGATAACAAGGGAGTCAAACAAATGCCTAAAGAAGAAAATCTGAACAATCCTTGCTTTGCAAACTGATCTCTTCAATCTCTCTGCTTTGTTGATTGTCTGTTTACATTCCACTGCTATTGCTTATATATAAATTGGTGTTTACAAGCCATACAAAGTTTGCCCAACTTTTGTTTCACTTGTCAGATTGGGCAACATTTCTAAATGAATGAAGGCAGCACAGAATTGTACCACACTGTTTTGGATTTAAACCAAGTGACTGTCTCTTAGTGCATCTTGGCTATAGCAATGAAGCTCAATAGAGCTTATTCACAGGAGGCAGGGCCTTGCTTTTCAAATGAAGACTTGGTGGTTAGGGAGGCAAAAAACCCTAGAAACCCTTTGACTTCTAAAACTCATTCAGGAAGATATACATTGGTTCCACTTGATCTTGCCTTGGGCACCTAGAGTTAGTGGAATGTTAATCACTTTGGGACTAAAACTTAAAATCGTAAAGTCATCTAACAGGAAGTTGGAAACTGACATTTGTGCACTTTCCTTTGTAATAAACTGCCTGAGAAGAGCAGGCAGCTGCCTCTACTCAACTCCATCCTAGCTTTGCTAGTTTGCATGAAGATTACAAAGCTGATGTCTCACCCTGCTGAGTTGTGTACAGGGCAAGTTTTGTTTTTGTGCAAAAATATTAGGATTGATCCAGCTGTTAACAGCAACAGTCTATGGAGTTGCTAGAAAGAGTCTGTCCCATCTAATGACACCTGTTCAACTCCTTGTGCTTTTCTCTGAAGCAGAGATCACCCAGCAGTTTCATATTGGGGTCATGACGCATCAGCAAATGGGGTTACACAGGAAAGTGTTTGCTTACAGTAAAACATTTAGTAGAAATCCCTGCTGAAACATTTCAGCTGGCTACTCCTAGTTCCAGCTGTTACACTGCGTTTTAGAACATATGAGCTGTTATAGCAATTCCTGAGGTTACTGATTCCTGGTTCCAACCAGGACAAGGCAAATGGGGAACACAAGGATTTTAATGGAGTCTTACGGAATTTCCACTAGAAACAATATACATAATAGGATTGTTTTAAGCATCTCTTTCATAAAGAGATACTCAGCCAGCTCACTAAACTGTAATCTGCCTTGATCTGATACATACTTTCTATCTTCATCTGCCAACAGTAACAGCAGCTTACTTCGAATATAGCATTACATTTTACAAATTAGAACTGCAGCAACATTAAGACAAGACTACTGAAAAAAAGGTTTCAGCAACTGGAAATAGTAGTGATGTGTGTCAATCAATCTCAGTAGACTTGAAAGGATGTCAGTCATTTACATTAGCTATACATGTCCTCTGAGAAGCTTATGCTTGGTTTCCCAACAAATGTTACATATGGTGTGAGCCTTTTGAAGTTCAGTCTGTCAACAACAGGCCTAATTACCCCTCATTTCTCTCAGCCAAAGCATTTCCATTGATTGCAGTGGTACTAGTGTCGGTTCACCCCACAGTAACTAAGAGGAGAATCAAGCCAAAGGTGCATCTACATTTTCCATTGTTTTTTGCCACTCAGACGGGAATGAAATAACAATTCTTATTTTCATATTTCTCTATATTACCACATCCCTACAAATATCAAACACTGTTTAATTTAAGATGACCCCCAGTTTTATGACTTTACTGGGTGATTTATGTTTTTTTTCCTTAAATTGAAAGATACATTTATGGTGCATATACGAACGTTTTACCTTTTTTTAACTTGAATTTAAGATACAGGTCATTTTTATATGAAATACTTTATTTTTAAAAGTATCTTATATTAGAAGGACTACAGGAATGAAACTAGAAAAGCTGAATTTAGCGTAAATAGCAGGATCACCCAGATAGGCAGTGAGAAGTAATTTCTCAACAATTCTAGTCATGCTCAATCTCAGATTTAGATGAGATATGAGTGAGACTAACACCGCACCTCAATCAAGCACAAGAGCAGAGTTCACCCTTTGTCTCAGCTCAGTCCCAAACTGTCTGAAGTTCCTAAAGCTGGCACCTTCCACAACTTAAAATGAACTGTAATGATACACAACAATATTTTCAGAAGATACTATCCAGAAGAAATTATCCCTGGCCTTTTAATCCACAGCCACAGAGAGTGCAGAAGAAGTGAATCTAGTGAATGTATTCAGAAGACGTCAGCTTGTTGTATAGCTCCCAATACTCAGTCATGCAGAAGATGGCTTGGCACAACTGT